TTATACTCTTCCACATTACTGTGATTCAGAAGGGATAAATGCCAGGACTTGTTGACTAAGGATGATTTTCTGGTAATATGGATCTTGATTGCTGAGTTCACTCATGGCAATAAGGGCAAATTAAAGAACACAATTAAGAAAGGCTGTTTAATATCTGGGATGGTCTTGCAGGCCTGGGTGCTGCAGTTACTACTGTGAGCATGATGGTAATTGTTCGTGAAGTATCAAAGTTACAATCACAGGGTATCCTAAATCTTCAGAGAATAGACTACAAACTGCTACCTATAGCTCTGAACTACTCAGAGATGACTGAAGATGCTGTGAAGTTAGTGATGAGAGCAAGCCATGCAATGCTGCCTTTCCTCTCTGTTACTGCAACTTGTTTTGTCCGGAGCAGAAGCCAAAGCATCCCATAGATGGATACCTGTGCTAAAAGTACTGAAAATATAATGGTAACAAGTTTTCTCATCTCTAGCAATACTTTATTTACTTGCTGTAATGTCAGACAGTATGACTAAGGACTGCACCAGACTGAGTCTTGTCAAATCTTTGAGTTCTGCCTTGTACTGTTTTCCTGGTTAGTCTGTCTCATCAGTATGTGTTGGCTTATTGCCTTTGGTTGCCTAACCCCTTTGTTTGTATGGTACCTACTTCTTTCTCTGTACTTCAGGAAATTTGTTCACAAGAGTCTGGTGGGAAAATATACTCTTATAGGGCATCAAAGATGTTCTCGAAGAATAGAGGACATTTTCATTTCAAAGAACCTCAACAGACATTTTCATTTCAAAGAAAAAAGACTAGTTTTCATCATAACCTAGATAAGAGGAGGCCCAGTGTTTAATTTCTACTTCTGTATCTTTCAATTCAGACCTCTCTTGTCTCAATTGACTATTGTCTTTTAGCACTTACAATATGCCTGGCTCTCAAGAAATAAAATAGTGGGTTTGAATCATTAACAATAATGATTCTTGAGAGTCCTTGTGGTAATAAAATTCTTAGTATATTCTTAATGGTTGAAATTACACACCTAAATCATATGTACCTGCATCTGAATGACCACCTGATCCAGGGAAAGTCTTGTTGGAAGGTACTAAGGCAAATTTGTTCTTAGTTCTTCCATGTTGGGACATGTGGAGATGTGGAAGAGCTGTCTTGCTGGACAGAATTCCTGTGAGCTGTAGTTAATTTCTCATTGTCAAATGCTTATCTTCTGGAGGACAAGTTTCAAGTCCTTCAGGAATATATGATAACATATGTGAGCGCTTCTGGATTATTACTCCTGTAAGGTCACATGTTCATGGTACACTTCAGCTAAAGTTGCTGGCAATTTTTAATACTAGTTGAAGCCACCGTGCTTTGCTTCGCACTTGCAGTTTGCAAAAAGCATGGTATTGGTGATTTGCTATATTAAGTTGTTTTGCTTTAGTAGTTGGGTGCTCAAAGCTGTCGAATGTGCTTGTAATACCTGATTTACTTCACCAGTCCCCTTTGCACACTGCTGGTTGGCTCCTCACCATGCTACTTAAGATCAGCTTTTAGTCCACGCTACAGAGGAAAAAGAGGAGCAGCGGTACATAGCAGACTTTCCTCTACAACTTGGCTGGCTCTGTGCATGCACTCAGGAAGAGATTTCTTGCATGGGCCCTGCTGGAACAGGGAAAAACTGATCCACCCCTAACAAGCTGACACACATTGTGCATGTTCCTGCTGATTAGGATCTCATTCTTCCCCAGTTCCTTGAAAACTAGGCCCAGTGTCTTTGCTGCCAAACAATTTCTTTCTTTAAGGCTGGCAATGTAAAAGATTTTCTGTTAAATTTTCTACCTATTTTAGACTTATGTATCACATGTAGATCTTTAAAATCAGCAGCCAAAGAATGAGGAGATTTACTGCCTTGGTAGATTAGCTGAGTTTCAGAGTAAGTGCTCTGTATTTGTGTCTGAACTTGTTAGGCCAGATATTAATCATCTGGCCACTGTAGCTCAGTCCTGAGTGATCAAATCTATACAAAGATGGAAAGGTATGTTTGTAAATGTAGGAAGTATGTTGCTTGTTTGTGTTTCATGTTTCTTGTTTGTTTTGTGATAGACTAACATGATTGCAGAAGAAGTAGTGCTTGAGGACTTTCACTCGAGTATTAAACAAGATGCATTAACTGGTCGTAGATAAAACATAGAAGTAAATGAGACCATGTTGATTAGCATAAGTAAAGTGCATTTGCTGTGTCCTAGCAACCTGCCTTGTGTTCTCCATAAAAGAGATTTTTAAGGAGGAAATTGATAGAAATTAATATTTCACCTATTTACAAATTCTTCATTGAAATTCAAGCAAATGCAAGGGGGAGAATCAATGGTTTTGTTTTGAAAATCTGACAGGTACAAGTGGGCCCATTAATACTGAATAATATGATAATGATAAGGAGAACTGAAGCAAATGCTGGAAAGAGATACCATTCTTAAAATTAATTTTTAAAATTTTGGATTACGAGATTATTATCCCAAGCAGTTATTACAAAGAAATAGGAGAGGAGACAAGAATGTAACCAAACAATCAAGGACTTGCAATAAATCCAGCTTTCATTGTCCTTCTCTGTGGTCTTTCATCATGGTAACTTTCTTAATATCCTGCATCTGACAAAAGAACAAGTTCTGGATACAAAAGATCCATATAAGTACTAATTATTTTGTTAGAACTTAGTGCAAATCAAGGTAATTAAATTTAAATAACCTCCTACTTGGAAAGTATGTACAAACCAACTGTGGTACATGGTGCTCTGTCCTGCTATTGAGCTCATTCAGACAGAATATGATGTACCTTGTGAAAAATAAATTTGATTGTTCCTCATTGTGCTTATGGAGGGAAGCAAAAAAAAAAAAAACAAACCCAAAACCAAACAAACAACAAACCCCAAACCCATGCTTTCTTGTTTCAGAGTTTTACTTTGCCTTTACAACATCACTCTATATCTCTGTATTACTGCATTTAAATTTAAAATTAGATTTTGTTATTCTGACAGCTCTTTAGGCAAAATGGGGATGTGCTAGAAGAAGATATAATATGTATGTTCTAGTAAGCTTTTCACTTTGTAATCTGAATGACTTGTAGGCAATTTCTTTTAGTAGTTCTTCATCTGCTAGAAAGAAGGAAAAATGTTAGCTTTACTAGAAGAAGAGGCTCAAAGGAAGCCGCCTTCTGTTCTTTGGTTTCTTGTGGTGGTTCTATTCTACATTGAAGTGTTGCTCTAAAAATGCATATGCTTTTGCCCAAATGAAGAGAATAATAACTCTAGGCCTCAGTCTCGTCTTTCTTCTGCAATTAGAAAGATGGAGCATTTAGTCATGTTAGAAAGGAATTTTGCAAAAGAAGCAAGACCCAAGAGCTTAACCATAGGTCTAATTTATTCACAGCTTGAATAATCACAACAATCATTGAAGTAGTATTTTGTGAATTCTGAAGCCATGTAGAAAGAGTAACTGATTTTTTTAAATTTTCAAAGAACAGACAATTTGTTTAACTTTAGTAAAAGTAAGTGCAGTATTTTAACGTTTAGATGTGTGCTACTTATTATGCAGAAGGGTCCAAATAACACTTCAGGCTTTTATTTCATGGGAATTCCCACTGATTATTGTGGCGAAGTATGAGATTGAATGCAAGATTCCTCTTCCTTCCCTTTCCTACATCCTCTTCTCCCGCCACCCCTAAAAAACTGTGTTAGCTTGAAACTGATACTTGAGTCTTTTCATGGACTGATAAAAGTAGTCCTGAAGATGATTTTTATATGTTGAGTAATTTTTGCAGCAGTTTTGCTTTTTGTAGGTTTTGTTATGATCCATGATTCTTTGGTTGTGGGTTGTTGCAAGGTTTCTTTTGTTTATTTTTTTGGGGTTGTTTTTTAATTCATGCATACATAGAAAAGGAAAAAAACACCCTCATGTTTTTGAAGAACCTGAGTGTGTAATGACATTAAAAAAGAGTAGCAGCATGATGACGGTATATTAATGGCTTGATGATCTTTGCTGTGAGGTCTTTGGACTAATAGTAATACAAATATTTTTACTTTGTGGTCTTCGACAAAGTAGCTGAAAATTCTTTCACAGGCTTATGGTTGCATTAGTTATGGAAGTTTAGTGCCCTCTTATAATCTGTTGCTTGACGTTACATTGCTGGCACAACCCGTGTGGTCACTTTACACTAAGATAAATAGGATAATGAGATGCTGCTAAAGCAGAGTGGATACTTCTGGCCTTTAGTTTACATTCATTTCCCAGTGGTGGGACAGTACAACTTGCTGGCTAAAAAACATTCGGGAGTTCTGCCTCAAGGTGTTTTTGAAGTTATTGGGTTTAGACTCCTTTGCCACTGAAACTAGATAGAAACTTTGGCAGCTTAACCAAAAAGTAGCTTAATAATGATGGGAGAGGGAATCTGTGGTGGTGTATATGAAATCTGGAATTGGCCGTGTTATTATCAGTCATAAATACATTTTTTCAATTGTGACTTTAAAAAAAATTATGCATAGAGCTTCCATTCCTAATACATTTAAATGAAGGGCATATCCAGCCTGTGTGTGTATCTGGATTTAAAAAAAAAAAGTCCTCTAAGCAGTTCAAGAAAAAGATGCTATTACTGGCTTACTGAGAGAGGATTAATTAGGAAATGTCTTCCCTTATCTGGATTTCTAGAAGTTACAGTGGTTCACTTCCTCTTAGCAGAGAATTATTATACAGAACACTAGGCACTTTATTAAATAATTATTTTATTATGTATTTGTTCTCTGGGTCTTGGTACTTTTGTTAAATTTGAAGTTATTTGCTAGACGGCTATTCAGTTGTCAGATGAAGGGATCAGCTTGAAATAACTTGTAATGGAGTATGATATGTTTGAATAACTAAAAGCTAGGGAAAATCTTGAAATTTGGGAGATCTCCAGGAGAATCTTTTTTGCATAAATACTAGCTTTACTCTGCATACCTTTTATTCCCCCCCTTCCCTTTTCTCTAGTACTGATACTCGAAAAGGTGGAAAATGGAGATCTGAGCAACAAGATGTTGAAGATCACGGATTTCGGCTTGGCCAGGGAATGGCATAAAACTACCAAAATGAGCGCAGCTGGAACATATGCCTGGATGGCTCCTGAGGTCATCCGCTCCTCCATGTTCTCCAAAGGCAGCGATGTTTGGAGGTATTGATTTGGCGTTAAGTGATTGGATACTAAAGAGTAACTAGACCTGCCAGGAAACCTCTTTTATGTTTAAGAATGAGTAATGGTGAACCAAATATTAAAATTCAGGTCTTAAGAAAACTTTATCCATCAGCTTTCCATCTGTTAGACTTATCTCAGACTTACTGTTACTATAGAAAGTGGTGGATCAGCTACTGCATGCCTCTAAATTTTTGTTGTTCTATAAATTTGCATTCAGATAATTTTGTGACTCATAATCAAATCCCTTCTGCTTTATCTAAACTAAACTTTTTGTGCTTATTTGGCTGTTGGCTGACATAATCAAAGGCCATAATACCATTTGAGAAGTACTTTACTCTTTTACCAATAGTAAGATAATTTTATGTTTTGGTAGTAATCTGTCACTGATGTACTGTACTTAATTGAATTCTCCATGCAGTTTCAATCCAAATGTGATGGTTTTCGCTTTCATTATTCTTATTAATGATTTCCACCCTTCTAGTCTTTCATAGGGTAATAAATGTCTTCTCTAGGTCTGCCTGAGTACATAATCCATAAGTAGTAACTTACATGTATATATTGTCTTTTCCATTCATGCACTGGGATTTTTGTGAATGAATTAATTTAGTGGGAAGGAGTGTAACAGTCAACCCATAGACTTCCAGAAGCTGAGTTTGAATACCGCCATTAAGTGAATTAGTAAATAAAGAATTCAGTAAATAGCTCTAGGACAGTGACTTTTCTGGGTGCTGGCTGATTTAGAATTAGTACTGAACATCTGAAACAGATGAATTAGCAAGAATTTTGTTTTTCTTGTGGAGAAAGACGTGTTGAAATGTCAGGGTGACTTCATCTTCAGAGCAGTACGGTTCTGTTGCTGGCCAGTAATGCTCTCGCACAACTGAGTGCATACTGTGAAATCAGTCAGGATAAAGAATATCCCAGCTGGCAGAATTGCCTGGCTGTTATGGCAGAGATTTGGTGTGGGGATTTTCATTTTCCTTATCCAGATTTGCTGAATAGATATTGCTTTGTGATAAGTCTGTGAACTTATATTTTGCACGCTAATAGTGTGGGTAAAATTCTGACTCTGTAATGAAATGTGGTAGCCTCTGTAGTTAATCTAAGACAAATTGAGCAAGAACCAGGCTTTTATTCTGAGTGAGGTCTGAGAGAAGTGAAAATCTCAGGGCTGTGCACCTTTCTGTGTGCATGATGACAGTTCTGGTTTGCACACAGCTTGTCAAGCTCCAACCTCAACTTGCTCTTCCCTGAAACTGTGCCAGGAATGGCCTTTAAGGGTAACCTGAGGGAAAGGGAGAAGGCAAAGGGGAAACTGTTTTGCTGTAATTGTAATCCAGGCATGCTGTGAACAGATCAGTAGATGTTCTGTACCAGTATGAGTTCATTTTTAAAAAAGGTAAGACTTAATTGGTTGGTTGATGATTTTTGTGAAGGTAGCACAAGTGCCTCTTTATCTGTGCAAAAGTACCAGTTTGGTCATTGACTTACGAACTGTGAATCACCTCAGGACTTAAGGATTGTACATAACTTAAATGATTTGGTCATTTTTAAGAATACTTTATTTCTACTTTTAAGATTCCTTCATTGCTTTCTCTTGTTATAGTTACCAGTCTTGCCTTGAAAACAGGTTGAGTTCCTCACAGTATTCTCCCCTAAACAGAGTGTCATCACCATTAAGAGAACTTATATACTATCTCTGAGGAAGCCTTTTCTCCTGGGTGGCTAAAACCTCTATTCGTAGTTAAATAAACTGAAAAGAACATGATGTTTGAGGTGTGTATGCAGAGGACAAATACTTTCCAGTGCAGTCACTACTAGTGTGTCAATGATGATAAGCACTAGATTTTATAAAAGCAGTCATGGACTTGTATAATAAATTCTGTCCCCACCCAAGGATGGAACCAGAAATTCTTAACAGGATGAACTCTCTTATCCTATTAGACTTGCCCTTCCTCTTGTCCAGTTCAACCTCTTGGTTAATCATTGGAGTCATTGGGAGTTTTTTTACCTGGCAACCTTACTGTTGATCTGTACAGCATCAACAGAATTGGCTGTCTCTGTCTCTCTAACATTCACAAACCCTTTTATTTCAACACCTTTTCTTTAAAGCTTGTTAGAATAATACTGCTGGCTGAATTGTTGCCCAGCCATTGAAAAAGGATCTTGTTCTGCTTGGGTTGTCACTGTAAAAGCAGGTGAAGAAGATGCTGAAGAAGATGCTTGCTAGGACTGCAATTTCCTGAGTCAGTCTTATCATAACTAACTGCTTCATCCTTTCAAAACATGTATCGAGCTCCATTTAAAAAATCCAAACTGTTTTTTATGTCCCACTGTAAAGTAGGATTGGCAAAAAACTTCAAAGAGTGAGGAATGGCCCCACACACTGGTATCTGTCACCAGGGTCTGGGCCACTGTAAAGCCTGTTAATATTACCAGTACCTAGTAAAACTTGCTAGTGAAAACTTGTTACTGTGAATTTTGCTCTTCTGTACCTGCAAGCTTTAGATATATAGTAGAAACCTTGTGCTTATATTGCACAGAGGACAAAGAAACCACAGTTTTATTTAAATAAGTCAGTTCTGTAAATCTATTTATGTGTTTAGATTTGCTTTGGATTTGCAGGGGTGAAGTTGAAGCCTGGATATTGCATCTTATCCAGTACTATACAGCAAGCTAATTTTAGTAGGCATTTAAATCAAATTTCCCTGTAATTTGACTGCTTAAATGTGCAGCAAACAAGAAATACACTTAATTTTTTACTTGTGCTGCTTAAAAGACAGTCATTGTCAGTATGATTGGTATGTGGAATAAAAAGGCACCATACAACCTTCATCTGAGTTCCCTGTGTTCCTCAAGTTAGATGCTTTTAAGATGTATCTACTCTGACACCAGTGAAATAATTGGGAATTTAATTGTCATTTGGAAATGGAATACCAGCACTAGCTAAAACCATCAGATTAGCAGATCAGGAAGTTTGAGGTATTTAGTGCTGCTGTGTAGAAACTTCAGTCATTAGAATGTTTTGTTTTAATCAAGTGTTGGTCAAGTACTTCCATCTACAACTGACTGATGGTAGGCTTTTGTAATTCCCTGTGTGTAATGAAGCACTGGCAAGACTTCAGTACCTGGCAAGTAAGTGCTGACTAGCAGTGTTAGTAGAAGCTCACCCAGGAGAAGCATAATGACTGATGTGAAATGGGTAGAAAATGTCAGCTCTGGAACTGCAAGTTCAATAACATGCAAAATGCTAACTGCTAATAGCCATTAAAATGTAATGAGGTTTGTGGAGTTGTCTCTTAACAAAAGTAATGTTCTAGTTTCTGTTGGAACTGGGGTCTCCTTGTTGGGCTGATAATTCCTTGTGTTGAAACCTAGGGAAAGTATTGAATCTAGGGATATGGAGAAGAGAAATCGATGGTACAAATGCCATGGAACAATATCAGTGGGAAGAAATTACTGATTTTTTTATAAGTTCACAGACTAACAAGGGAGGTGGCAAAATCACATGTGAAATCCTGCAGACCTCCAGCCTCCCTCACCCTGAAAATCCAGTGTGTAGGATTGAACCTGATGTTAAATGGCTTAAGGGATTACTGGATCACTGAAAGATGGTTAATTATTCACACAAGTGTCAGTTGACTTGGGTGCATGGTCTGTATCACATGGTTCATTTTGTAATTAAAGTCCAAAAATTACTACTGGGTGCTGGAAAAATAAATGAGCTTGATCAGTTTTTCGTTCTCGCTGCTGAGAATGATTAGATGCCCTTGTTTCTTTCTTCCTATGCCTTTTTTTTTTGCGTAAGTTTTCTGACTCTGGCTTTTTCCTTTGTACTTCCCAATTTTCTGCTTGAGAGTTAATGGAAAACACTCTGTTCAGCACCTCTCTTGCTGTTTAATCAGTTGGGATTACTGTTGTTCAAATGCCACAAAGCAGTATTCCTCTAGTTCTGTGGAAGCAGTATTCTCAGCAATGTGCTTGTAAGTGTGTGAGGAAGAGGTGGCATCCAGTTTTATCAGAAGCAAAGTGACCTTTCCTGCAATATGCACATACAGTGTCACATTAGAAGAAACATCAGTCTGTCTATTCCTTTGTCCTTTAAAATTGACTCTGTGGAAGAAGTGCTTTGAGCACATCAGTAGTGCTTTATCCAATACTAGTGGTAAAGTAATAATACAGCTGTTTGTTAGTTTTTACTACCTTTTGCTACCAAGAGTCGTATCCAAACTGAAGAGTAACATGAATGATCAATTAGATTTAGACAGTCCAAATATGCATTCAGTCCAGTATTCATTTTCTTGGAGTGTTTATTAATCCTAGAAGGACAAAAAAGAAAATGGGAACTCCTTAACTCTAGTTAGATTTTTATAAATAAGGCTCTTGAGGCAGTAAGAAGTAATAAATTACAATATCAAGAATATGAATTACATAGAAAAAATGCAAAATATTTTATAGGTGAAAAAATATACTTTGCTGAATAAAGGGAACTTGCTGTGTTAGCAACAAAGGTGGAATCATTAGTGACTAAAGTCCTATATCTAAATAGGAAGAGTACTGTTAAGGATGTTCAACTGAAGTGGCAGCAGTCACAGTGAATTGTAAGGACTTGGTAACATGGGGGGGGTTAGATTACAAAAATACAGGTTGTGATAATGTACTCTCAAGTGGATAGGGCAACTGTTGCTTTGAAACAAGAAAAGCTTAATCTTTTAGCTTCAGAAATGACTGTTTCATGGAGCAGCTATTTAAGGAGCTTGTAGGAGGAACAGCAGTTTTTCATTTGGTCTTCAAGTGTGCTTATGAAGCCTTCAAGATTGTACAGTATGACATGGTCCAAATTATGTATACTTAGATTAGATATCTTTCCAAGAGCAATGAGGTAAAATTAGTCCATTAAAGCAGTGTTTAATCTCAAGGAGATTAGTGACAACATTGGGAATTTTTTGTAAAAACAATGAAAGGAGAACACAGAACATGGATACCTTTTAAGGACGCTTGTTAAATCTCTGAGTGAATGTCTAGGAAAGGCGTTAAAAAAATGAAGAAGACAGTGTAGAAGAGACTTCTGAAAGACATCCTTCTAAAAGTTGAATCTGTATCCGGTGAGGAAAATTAGGCATGGGCTTAAACTCTGACAAGTTGAACATAAAACACTTAAGAAGATAAAAGGGTTTTGGGGAGAGTCTTAAAGCATAGAACCAAATCAGTTGCTTTCAAATGCAGTACAAGTGAGAACCCTGCAGGAGAGCATACAGCCCAGAGGTGACCAAGATCTAAGAAAGCAAAGAAGATGGGGCTGTAACAGAAAAAAACCTTAGTGACTTGTGTCTGCCAGAATGGAACAAAGAGAGACTTTTTAAGATGAAAATTTCTCTATTAGGGAGCCAAGCTAGAGGACATATCTTACTGAAGTACAGTCCACAGAGGTGTTAAAACTGACTGATAAAATGAGCAGTAACAAATTGCTGAGATGTACAGTAACACCAAAGATTTCTACCAGAACATGAGAGTCAGCTGAGTTAACAGCTGTCCTGTGTAGTCCGTTGCTTAAAGCTGCTATAGTACCAGAAAAATGGAAGGCAGCAAACATGGTGACAAGTCTTAAAAGAGCTTCCTGAGGATTAGCAAGTATGATTTTCAGTTCTTCTAAATGGTAGAAACAGCACTAAAGAGCAGGGAGCTAGTGGACATATGAGCATATCTGGGGGAGAGTAGCTTTTATAGAAGAAAATATAATACCTTGTGAAAATGCTTGAAGGAGTTACTGAGTGTGTGGTAAGTGGTAAGATTGCTTATATTATTTTTGGATTTACAAAGACTTTAAACAAAATCTTTCATCAAAAGCTTTTAAAGAAAGTAAATTAATGTGGGAAAAGAGGGCAAGTCTGTTTCCCATCACTAGTCAATTCTTAATTACTAACGGAATAAATCAGTTATGTTGGTGGAGAATTCTGTGTTCAACACAGTCATAAGTGATTTGAAAAAAAAAAAACGATAAATGGTTAGGCAACATGGATGATGATACTGAGTTTTTCAGGATTAAGAAAAACTAATCTACCGCAGAGAGCTGAGGAAAAGTTTTACTATAATGAATGATAAAATAGATGGTAATATATACAAAGTAGTACCCATGGGAGAATTTCACATGTACAATGACGGGCTCTAAATTTTACTATGATGAGTCAGTAAAAAGATATTGGAGCTACTGTGGGTAATCTAGCTCATTTTGTAAAGAGTCAGAAAGGCAAGTAGCAAATTGAAATTTAATAGGAAATTAAAGCAGTACCATTTGTGCCTCTCCCTGTATCTTTTTAAAACTTTGTGATGTTGCTCATTTCAACAGAAGACATCAAGGTCAATGAACGATATGAAATGGCTTCTGTTTGGGATAGTAACTAGATTAGGATTTAGCTAGATTAGGATTTGGGAGTCTGGAAAGAAGGTGATTTAGGCAGGATGCATGGGAGCCTGTGAAATCATGGATGGCATGGAAGGAGCTAATAGGGGAACATATGTTCACTCTTTCTTGTTTTGAAAGAACTACAGTGAAGCAAATGAAATTACCAAGTGACAAGCTCAAAACAAATACACAGAAGTATTTTTTGGCAATGCATCATTAAATTTGTGGAATTCACTACCACAGAACATAGTGGATGGTAAATGGGTTCAGAAGAGAGTAGGACAGATAGACCAATGAAAGAAAAACCTGTGAGGTCACCAAGTATGAAGAAGCAGTTTCTGGTTCGGGTTTCCTAGAAGTAGAGAAAATATTCTGAGGATGTGTCATTCATTGTATACTTGGGGGGAGAACAGTCTTGAAACTATTTCCATAACTTCATAGTTAATATTTCATGGAACATCTTCAGAGCAACTTAATTCTGAAGAAGTATTTTTGACTTATTTTTAAAAATAACATCCCGCCAAACAACCCTCCTTCACATTTTTAAGTGTTTTGAGAGGTGCTGCTTTGAAACTTGCTAAATTAGTTAGAAGATTTATGGTTTTCAATTGTTCCAAATTTCCAGAGAGAAAATTATTTTTGTCTAAAAGGTGAAAATGGCATCTTATTTCAGACTTATTAAAAAAAGGCAGTTCAAATAAGGCACATCACCGGATTGGCAATCGTGATAAGCTTGTCCAGAAAACTGCAATTTCTTTAATATACCAGACTCACTCTTATAGGTTCAGGTACCTTCTTGTTGCTTAACAAAGAATGTGTGTAAGTCAAACACCTGCTCTCTTTTCTGTTTCTTCCTGGTAGTTACGGTGTGCTGCTTTGGGAACTGCTAACAGGAGAAGTTCCATTCCGAGGAATTGATGGTCTTGCGGTAGCATACGGTGTTGCCATGAATAAACTTGCCCTTCCAATCCCTTCCACATGTCCAGAGCCTTTTGCCAAACTCATGGAAGGTAAGCCAGGTGTGATGTGAGTGTGGTTTGTGCTGTTTCTAGAGTGCTGTTGAGCACTGCCTCTTTGTGTTGGTTTTGATACCCAAGAGCACAGATTTCTCAAATGGCTTTATTCAGTGGTGCAGGTTATTACAGGAGCCAGGCTTGGCTGTTAATGTGCTGTGACAGTTCCTCTATTACCAGAGTAGTGAAAGAAATTTCTGCACCTTTTTTTATCAACTGACTTTATAGGAAAATGGGGACTATTGCTGTCATCATCTAGTTTGTTTTCTAGTAATGAAGGCTCACCAACACCAAAACTTCACATGTTTTAGTCTAGTTTGAAGTCTTAAACTTGTTTTAAAATTCATAGCTTGAACATCGTGCTAGGCAGTGATTTGAAATTAAACTTTATCCTACTGACATTTCAGGTAGAGGGTTTAAATGTGGCTTTGACATTTCAAAACAACCAATATTTTCAGTCAGAAAGATGTTATTTTCTGCTTTGTAGGCAGCTGTCTCCTTTGAGAACACATGCAGGATCACTCTCAAGGAGAAAAGGCAGCGCAGAAAGAACCGTGTCTTGCAGAATACACCATCTAAGGAGTCTTTCTGCTGTGCCTTTTGCAATCGGATATGTCTGTCACGTATTGGCCTCATAAGCCACCAGCGTGCCTGTAGCAAATGTGGATAGAGCCTTCCTAAATCTTCGTTTTCGAAGCCCAGCCATGATGATTAGGTGGCGATAGTTCATGCCCACAGTGAGCTACATAGAGATGAAAGAAATGTAGGACTACTTCATCAGAGCTGCTGTAGTTATTAAAAAGGATTGTGTGAGCTAGCTTTCGGGGTGTACTTATGTGTCCTTCCCTGCTGGCCCTTGCAGCTACTTGCTTGTTTCCTTAGCTGCAGTCGTCCCTCTCTCCTTCCCTCTCTCTCTTCCAGTATTACCCTTAGTAATTTTGTCAGTGCCCCTATTCCCAAGGATTTCCAGGTGTTTATATGTAATAAACATTTTTATACCTATCTGGCAGAACGAAATCTGAGATAAAGAGAAATCAAACTTGGTTTATAGTCTTGGTGAGCAAAGAGTTAATCTCATCATAGAACTGATACTCTGTGGCCTCTGGTGGTGTTTTAACCCAAGAAACGAATATAAGCCCTGTAGGAAAATGTTTCTGATGGATTTCTCTGCTTTTAGAATACTTCAGCCTTTCTCTGGTCTTTTCTTTAGGTTACAGGCTTCAGTTAATTTAAAGTAGAAAATTTCATGTACTGTTCTGCTAAAAAGAAATGTCCTACTGGATAGTAAACAGCAACAGAGTTGCAGGTAGAGTAACTTGGAAGCAACATAAAGCAAGAAACGGCATCTGAAAGAGTTAATGGAACTACCAGCTCAGTGTTGTGCCAGAGCTGTTTGTTTTGACGTGGTTCTGCAGCTGGGTTTAAAAATAATGCCCTCTGTTGGGAAAGTCAGGTAGAGGCATATGGTCAGTGCTTGAACCCAGCAGTGCAGGGGTGAGCACCCACTCAGCTTTGGAAAGCTTGGCTTCTCCGTGTGCAGGGGGAAGGCGAGAACAAAAAAAAAAAAAAACAATTACCTTCTGCCACTTCACCAAAACTGTTTTTCAAACAGGCTGTTTCCCATCTCGAGTGAACTCTTGTTCCCCTAATGCTGCTTTTACTTTTGAATTACTGCCCTGGTGGTCTACACTGAGACAACAAAGCTGAACTTTAGGTCTTCACAGAAAAGATTTGTATGTTACAACTGTCCTCATTAGTGCAAATAATGGCAGATCTAGGCCTGGGAAAATAAAAGCCACGGGCCACCTGCTAGTTATCCTGTTCACTCATTCATGCATTTGGCTGGCTGCAGCATTTTATTTTACTTTGGGTCATGTTTCCTTTGCCATGTTTAAAACCTGGGGTAAAGAGACAGGGATTATGGCACTGACAGTCCAGCTGTAACACCCATTGCTACTAATTGGCCAGCAGCAGGGGACCTTCAGAGCACTCTCTAACATCCTCGGTTCTCTATTTTGGTAAGAGAAGCAATTTGAAAGCCATAAACACAAACACATTCCAGCTTATGTCTCACTGAACCTGTTGATACCCGCAGTTTTGAAACCAAAGTTCCCAAATGCAAAATCTCAGTAACGCTAAAATCAAAGACCTGCAAGACCAAGCCTCAGCAGTTGCACAGATTTTGTGAAGTGATATTTATTTTTAATTACAGCTGCTCCTTGGTGTATTTCAGTTCGCAAATCTGATGAATGAATGTCTTTTAGGACATCACCAAATATTTTTAAGAATGTTTCCTTTTTTCTCCAACTTCAAGGTCTAAAAAACTTTTAGAACATTTTTATAATGCTTGCTTCATGCTGCAGTAATGTGTGTCTTAAATCCAGTGACCATGTACAGCAATGACAGTATGAACATACTGAGAGCTTTTCATGCAGAAAAGCTGTGTTCCCGAGAAATGCACTTGAATGTTAAGTTTTTCTCTGTGGTTGCTCTGAAATTTTGGCATGCAGGAGTCCAGCAGTAGTAAAGAGAATAAGGGTATTTGTTGAACAAAAACCTGTGTTAGTGCCAGTACAGGGCAAAATAGAATGAAAAAGGGATGTTTTCTGCAGGAGTAGAAGTGAGGGTGCAGTAAGAGGGAAGACTGAAAGAGTACAAATTTCCTATTCAAAAGTGTTGTTAAATCAAATGTTTTGACGTAAAGGCTTTTTAAAAATATATTCTTAGTGATTTTGTAGCTTGAGCAGTTACTTCGTACTATTTTCTGTTTCTGTTTTCAATGTTCGGTTCCCATCACTGTAAAAACGTTACTTTTTGTATTGTTGCTCGTTGAGTTGCCTTATGTGGAAAGATGGCTACCTTAAAGTCTGCATTTTTAGAGCTCTGTAACTGGCTAAGTAATCGCTTTAGATTGCAAATGAAAAACCTTGTTTATCTGTTGTTTCTCTTAAAAGCAAAAGAAAAACGTCTGATCAAACAATTTTCTCTCAAATGATAAAGAAGAAGCCTTACAAATAAGAAAACTCCAAATGCACTATTTGATGTCGTTATTTTACTCAAGTTATGTCCAGTTTGCTTTGTAGGAGAGGTTTTCAGTTTTGAGAAGAGATCCGTAATGACTCAGCTTGATATTAGAGTTTGGCATTAGAAAAAACCCTGATAGATACCCTTCTGCACTATGGCTGTTAACTCTGCAGTGTAGCTATTATAAAAGAACTGTTTACAAGAGCCTTGCATAAATTTCCACTCTGTGAACATATACATACATTTTAAAGCAAAATATTTAAGGCAATTATTTTTTTATTTCTTAAAAATGCTTGAAAATATAACTTTCTGTACAATTAATAAACCTCTATTTTATTTGACATATTATTGCAAGAGAATCTAGAGACCAGGTAGTTAGGTAGTTAAAGATTTTTAAGTGATGTTGGATATTGTATAATCATGAAAGCATGAATTGCATACTTGACAATGGGCAGTGCAAGTGGGAAATGGGAAAGGTGGGGTAACACAGTGTGCATGCCACTCTTAGCCACTGGGGATCAGTAAAGTACTACTCATCCTCTCAGACCTCCATACTTAGAAATGCTTGACAATTGCTTGTCTTTGTCCTGTTCTAGATTGTTGGAACCCTGACCCACACTCACGACCTTCCTTTGCCAGTATCCTAGACCATCTTACTGCCATAGAAGAGTCTGGTTTCTTTGAAATGCCCAAAGATTCCTTCCACTCCCTGCAGGAAGACTGGAAACAAGAGATCCAAGAGATGTTTGATCAGCTCAGAGCCAAAGAAAAGGTAAGGAGAGAACAGTGCTCCCTGTTTGTGCTCTCTGGATTATAATTTCCCCATATTATAATTCAAACAGGGATCATTTTTTAGTGCATCCCAGATATAATTTTGACTATGCTTTACTGGAGCTTGTATTAAGTCCCTGAATCAATGGCAGGTTATGATACATGGAGGGGTAGAATCATGAGAGAAATAAATATCCTCATCCTGAGCTGCTACTCATTCTAATACTGTAGTAAGCTTCCATTATACACTGTGCAATTGCTATGATGAGTTGTTTTTAAATTGTTTAATCATCTGATAACTGTTTCACTTAATCAAGAAACCCAGGAGATGTTGGAGGGGTAGTTTCAGCATATATACTCAAGTACACGTTGCAGCTTTGATTCTGCCAAATTTGTGTTTTCCAGGGTTTGAGGACAATCAAAGTGCATAGACTATGATAAACATGAGTGCTACCAAGGGAATGGTGTAGTAACTGTTCTAATTGAAGTCCATCTGCACAAAAAGCAGGAAACAAAAATGCTGTCAGGAATAAAAGGAGTGATGACCATCAGCCTCAAAGAAAAGTGAAAAAGCTGAAGTTATCTTTAAGCATGCTTTCAGAAAGCACAGCTTGCTGCATCTAAGTTAAGGTTCTTACAGAGACTGTCTTTCCGGTCAATGGTAAAAACTGCAGCAAAATTGCTGAAGTAATATTTTTTTAAGTTCACGATCTCTTGCCTAAAAATAAATTCATAATGAGCCTTCAACTTGATCAGGGCTCTGAGATTGGATTTAGGAGGCAGAGAGAAGAAAAAGATGACTTTGGGTCAGAGGAGAGAAGTCCTACAACAATACTTTAAACATTTCTATTCACCTGTTATGGTAGCTTTTGGGGAAAATAGAATAGCTAATAGACATTTCTCTGCTACTGTTGTCCCATGTTGTAACTGTGTTGGAACAGCTTTTGAAAACCAGAAACTTCAACAGACAAGCAGAAAGCCAAACAGTAGTTACTAGACTGCCCTCAGGTGAGTCCTCATCACGCCTCTTTAGTGGTGGGGAAATAATTTTATGTGCTGTTCACTTAATGAGTAAATGGTACCAAATCTCCCTGGTGGTGAGACAGGTAGCAATGCTGTTCTTAAAAAAAATCTGAACTAAAATCCATCTGATTGTCTTTTTGAAGTTTAATTTAAATTCTTCAGTTTTTACCTTCTGCACTGGAATTAGCTAGCTGGAGAGAATTATTCTGAGTGCTGAATTCTTTTGTACTTATAGGGAGAGGAGAGGAGTGCAGGGAAATGTTTTTTGAGATTTCAAGGACAGTTTCAGTTGATTCATTTTGTCAGCAAGAGATAGACTGAAAAGTTTGCCTTATGCATCTTCGCCAGGACCATGTCCAGATTGCTTTTGAATATTCCTAGGTAGGGAGACTCTATAACCTCCTTGGGCAACCTATGCCCAGTGTTCAGTAACAGTCTCAGTAAAAAAGCATTCAGAGGCAGTCTGCTGTGTTTTGGTGTATGCCTGTTGCCTCTTGTCCTGTCACTGGGCACTGCTGAAGAGAGCGTGGCTTTATCTTTTTTCCGCCCTTTCCTCAGGTTTTTACATACACTGAAAAGATCCCCTTTGCCCCACCCAAACCTTCTTTGTGCTAGGATGAATAGTCCCATCTCTTTCAGCCCTTTCTCATAGGAGAGGTGCTCCAGTCTCTTGATCGCCTTCATGGCCATTTGCTGGACTCTGTCTCCAGTACGTCCATGTCTGTCTTGTACTGGAGAGCCTAGAACTTGACACAGGATTTCAGGTGTGGCCTCACAAGTGCTGATGTCCAAATTTTAATACTGGTATGAAGGTCCTAGAATGGCAAGCATAGAAGTCCTTGAGGATTGTTTTTGGCTTTCAGCTAAGCCTTTAAACAGTGGTGCTAGCAGTGCTGTGAGCACAAGTCATTGCTGCCGTACCTTTAGAACAGGCAATGTTAGTCTTAACGCACAGGTCACAAGGTAGCTTTTTATTTCTGCTCTCTTATCTCCTTACAGGAGCTGCGCACATGGGAAGAAGAGCTGACTCGTGCTGCTGTTGAACAGAAGAATCATGAAGAGCTGCTGCGAAGGCGGGAGCAGGAGCTGGCAGAACGCGAGATTGACATCCTGGAAAGGGAGCTCAACATCATCATCCACCAGCTGTGTCAGGAGAAGCCTCGGGTGAAGAAACGCATGGGAAAGTTCAAGAGGAACCGGCTCAAGTTAAAAGATGGCAATCATATCAGCCTACCTTCAGGTTGGTGACGTGTTGTTCTGTACCAGGTGAAATGGGAGCAACCCGTAGGTTTGGTAGCTCCTTACTACTGATACTCGAACATTAAAAAATATTGGATGTACTTAGGGAAAAAAATATGCCTCATGGGTTCAGTAAAATAAATTTGATGCTTTTGTGGCTAGCACTGCTCAAAGATCCAAGATGAAGGCTAGAAGTAGATTTGAGATGTTACATCATGTTTGTTAATCAGTGGCTGTATATGGTCAGTGGTTAAAATGCTGGTGTTGCTGTTTAGCATGTTAATATTCAAAATACCAGTTTAATAAAGGACATGCATAAAGAAATGATGGAGGTTCTTGTTCTGGCAATACTTTACATAATGCTGCAGCAGAAACTGTAATGTACTGGATTTTTTGGTGTAAGATCCTAAAAATTACCAAAATACATTCATAGCTATGAGACTATAGCTCTGGATTGCTAGTTCATATATAAACTTGTATTAACACACAAGTGACCTCTAATACCACCCTTCTGGAAGAAATGCTAAATATTAGTGAAGTGTTAGGGAAGTCACTCTTAAGAGCGAACATGGTGATTTTCAGAAATACTGAATCCGTAGCATTTCTACTGCAGATTCTGTATGGAGATTCAAATTTGTAAAAGAACAAAAGTGTGGGTTTTGTAAATCACCTAAGACTCATCATTACGTCAAGGATGATGGCTTGCACTATATTATTTGTTTTCTAGGAGATATTGGCTGTTCAGAAGAGCAATTATGCTAAAATGTGTATGTTAACTATGCCTTTCTTTAGGTCTGTAAATGCCTATTTTTGGTGGTGCTTAAGAAACTGAGAGATAAGGTGAAAGGAATTATACAGGAATATACTTCGGCGTAAATGTCAGTCAGCACATGGGGTTTGTGTGTGTATGTGTCTTACACATACACTAAGAGGATATATCTCTTAGTGTGAACACACATTTTTGTTATGAAGTAACAGTGTGTACAAAAGGCAAATAGCAATTAGCTGTAAAACTTCATTTCTACCTTGATCCTACAAGTTGTGCTCTTTGAAAGTTATCATAAAGTATTTCTTTTTCCATATGTTAAAAAAAACTTCAACTGTTTTTCTGCTTTTCTTTTGATTTTTTTTTCTTTTGCTGAACAGATTTTCAGCATAAATTCACTGTGCAGGCTTCTCCAACGATGGATAAAAGGAAAAGCTTGATCAGTAGCTGCTCCAGCCCTCCTGCAAGTCCTACCATTATTCCCAGACTCAGGGCCATACAGTGTAAGGAGCTCAATGTAGTATTGAATTTGGGAAATGTGCAGTCTGTCAGCGTGGTAAGATGCCCAGATTCCATATCTAGGACAGGACTGTAAAAGAAAGTACTAAAATGTTTGCCTTGTGCCTTGTATGTATGCATTTAGAGAGCAAAATGAAGTGTGTTGGTGATGGGGGGGAGTATCACCTGCTTTGGAGTAGAAACCATACTTACCCAAGTCCTTGAAATACTGCTGTTTGTATAGAAAATACATTCCTGAGGTGAAGAGGTTAATTTTTAAAAATGCTAATTTGCAGAGTAGATCTGTGAAACATTATTGAAGTGGATTAAGTTACTGTTGTAAGGAAATAAAAACAAGGGTGCTTGTCATGCAAATAGTGTTCCCATAATAAAACAGAATTAGGCAGACATGCATGAATTATGGAAGTCATGTTAGCTAATGTATAGTGTTTGTTTTGGATATCATGACACTTGTGTGTCTGGTATCAAACTGGTGGTTCTAAAGAGAAACCAGTGATGGAATAAAGCTGTAAAGCCTACCTATACTTTGAGGGATTAGGGAATACCTAATTTTGAAGGGATTTGGTTGGTAGATCTGTGTTGATAAATGATCAGAAATACAGGAAAATAATTTTTGCTACTATTCCTGTTTTGGCCTATGTTTTATTCTTCATGTTGCCATGGAACCAATTCTTTAATTTGTCTATCTGTTTTTCTTTCCCATTTTCCACTGTTCTTCCCACTTCTGAAGTGACTCCTGCTGAAAGCAGTAAAACGTGGGGGCGAAGCTCAGTCCTTCCAAAGGAGGAAGGAGAGGAAGAAGAGAAGAGAGGCCAGAAGAAAAAGGGGCGCACCTGGGGACCAAGCTCACTTTGTCACAAGGAGCTAGGTGCAGGAGAAGATGGGTAAGAGAGGACCTGGAGGCAGGCTCATTTCTCATAAAACAGGTTATGAGATGGCTCTTGGGAGATTTGCCTATCCTCTTGCAAACACCTTCCTGCTCCCAAATTTATTTCCTGTACCAGAGATGTTAGATATTCAGATTACAGAACTGCATTCAATCTCTTGCTGGTGACTGATGCTTTCACTGTTTGCTATTATGTTGTTAGGTGTATTTCTAAGCAGTAGGACTTCCTAGCTGAGCAAAACTCATTCTCTAGTAGGTTTTCTCTATTTTTCAGGCTCAACTTTTTGTAGTTTTGTATCTTACCTGAAAATACTTCTCTCTTACAATTCTCAGATGTGCTTTTTCTTGTCTTAATTTTTAAATAATAGCATTTATCTGGTAGAGCCAGATAATTTGAAAAGGACATGTGCCTTGAGTGAATACATCCTGAAAGTGATCTTTGCAGAGATACAGATTGTACTTCTATTTCTATAGATTATTGTTCTGTGGCTGCTTCTTTTTTTTGTGTGTGTGTGTGAATTATTTATACCAGGACTCCAGTGGATCATTGCTGAAATGCTGCTTTAAACGTAGGAGTATTTTGGTCTTCTAAGAGGTTTGAATGTTTTGTGATTTTTTTCATGGAGTTTGAAGCTTTTTCCCTCTGCTAAATTGATAGTTTGACTCTTGCCATATTTTTTAGCAGGGAAAATAAAATAACTGGTTATAATCTTTAACTGTTGTGTGTTCAGGTGTGAAATGCCTGAAAACCACGTTTGCATAATGCATTGCTATTGCAATCCTCTGCAAGAGAGCCTGGATCTATTAGAATATGTTCTCTCTCAAATACACTTAGGACATGTTGACAGGAAGATTCTTTGACTGATGTCTGTGTTTTACCTGTTCTGTAGATGAAGTATAGCATTCTACAGAATTAAAACAAATGTCACACTTTACAATCATTAACTGTATAAAAGGGTAGGAGATCACTGAAGCTGGAAGAAAAATACTTCTATCTTGAAATCATGTTCTTAGAATTCTGGGAATAAAGCTCTTCAATTTTCTGTTCATTACTGCACAGTCTGAAGCACTGATGGCTTTTGGGCACAGACAACTGGAAGGGATTTGATTGCTAACTGTACTTGCTCATAAGACTATCCTGTTCTCTCTGCAACTGAGATGTTCTGTAGTATTCAGAATCTTTCCTAGGGAGACTCAATACAGCTATTGCATTTTGCAGACTGTTTGAAACAGGATAGTGTTGCTGAGAGTGCAGTATGGTTAACATACAGTGAACTACTCCTTCTTTCTGAGATCATGCTGGACTGCAAATTTTAATTTAAAGGGAACAAAATTGCAGTAAACATGGAAATGTTTTTGGAGTTGTTTTTCCTCTCCTTCTGCTGAGCACTTTATTTTTTACCTGCAAAATTGATTGCAAAAGAAATCAAGATGCCTTGATTTCAAGAGAAAATGTTTAATCTGATTTTTGTAGTGGTGCTTTTTATTATTCTGCATTCATAGCTGTTAGTTATCAGTGGAGGTCTTTTGACTTCTGTGGTGTAATAAACGATGGAGGGACCTTATGACATTTTTTTGTGTTTTAAGGTGCTGTAAAAATGTCACAATTTCTTGTTGTGGGAGGGCTTCAAATCTGTGTAGTTATGATGGATACATGCATACTATAATAGAATGACAGAGAATATAGAAGGGGAAAATGGAAACTGCTTGTGAGCATGGTACATTTTCTCACATCCTTTTGCTATTTCAGTCTGAAAGCTCTGGTAGAAGGATACAAACAGTGGTCATCCAGTGCACCGAACCTTGGAAAGATCCAGAGAACTGCACCAGCTTTTCCAGGATTCACCAGCTTAGCAGAGATGGGTAAAGGAATTCCTTGAACTTGATACTCTCATCCCCACTTCCATTCCCATTTGAATAAACATCTTCTTTTCTGACCTTCACCTGATACCTTGCAGCTATGTCTTCATTTTATTTGGTACCTATTTTTCTTTTATTCTCTGTGAAATGTCCACTTCCTCCTTCTAGATTTTCTTTTTATTCACCTCTCTGCTTGTTCTTATTATCTGTCAAGTTAATAAGCTTCTGTTAATTCTCCTCTACCTCCATGCTATCTCTCAGCTCCTTTCTTGTATATTGATATTTAGATGTGCAGCATGGTTACACCTTCACTTGCAAGGAACGATCCTTATAATTTTCCTACCTTTTGCTCCTCACTCACAAACATATAAATTTAGTCTAGAAGTAACTGAGGTGCAGGGTGCTCCTGAAATGCTGTTCTGCAATTAATCCCAAATAGATTAATGCGTCATTAATTTCTTCCACTTTGATAGTGCTTCCAGGTATTTGTCTCAACCTATTTGCTTTGGAGACAATAACCTGTGAGTATTTGGCAGTTGATGAATGATGCTTGTGATGAGAACAGTTGCATTTTTTGAGGAGAAGCTTGTTTTCATGAATATTTGTAAGACAGTGAAATTTGCTAGTGAAAATGTTACATCAACGCAAAGTCTATTTTCATTTGCTTTCCAGATGATGAAGACAGCGAATGTCTTAATGGAGAGGACAAAGTGCACCCTTCACCTGTGCACAATCAGTCATACCTCTGCATCCCATTTCAGAAGAATGAAGATTGGGATGGCCCTTCTAGTGATGCCAATGAGGAGTCCACCCCTGTAAACTCTGCTACTAGTACCCCACAGCTGACACCCACCAACAGCCTCAAACGTAGTGGCTCCCACCACAAGCGATGTGAGGTTGCACTGCTTGGCTGTGGAGCAGTGCTGGCTGCTGCTGGCCTGGGTTTTGATCTGTTAGAAGCAGGGAAGTGTCAGCTGCTGATTGAGGAGGAGCCGGAAGTGCCCAAGGAAGAGAAGAAGAAGCGTGACAGCATTTTTCAGCGAGCTGGACGCCCACGCAGGAGCACTAGTCCACCTTCCCGGAAGATCTTCAAGAAGGAGGATCCCATGTTGTTGCTAGGCGAGCCATCCACATCCCTTACCCTTCTTTCCCTGTCCTCCATTTCCGAATGTAATTCCACCCGGTCCCTGCTGCGCTCAGACAGTGATGAGATTGTGGTATATGAAATGCCTGTCAGCCCAGTGACAGTCAAGGCTCCTTTGCCAGCCATTACCAACCCACTAGTCAATGTCCAGATCGAGAGGTTCAAACAAGACCCCAACCAGTCCCTGACTCCCACACATGTGACGGTCTCTTCCCACACCCAGCAAAGCGGGCACAGGCGCACACCTTCTGATGGGGCCATCAAAGGGAGCGGACTAATTGTCAACGGGTGCCCAACCAGTGGATGCCCTTCCAGTAGCTGTTTAACTGGAGCACTGGGAGCAGGTAGGTTTTCAGCCATCTTCCTTTTCCTCTTTAGAATAAAGACACGAACAGTATAATTACTTGTTGCTTATACAGCATCATTGTGATGACCAGCCCACAAGAATTGCTTATGGATGCTATCTTTACACAAATAGTTAACAGAATAATGCAGTAATGGTTTCTGTTCCAGCATCTCTGAGCTAAGGAACTCCTTGCTCCCCTGTGCTGTAAGGCAGAGCATAGTATTGTTTCTTAGACAAAAATGGTGCCAAAGTACAAATACTGCATGTTTTTAACAGTTCCTTGGAGTTCTTCATTGCCTTTATAGACTTGTTTGTAGTTCAAAGTAAATTCTGATCTTTAAGGCGGTGAAAACAGGATCTCTAAAACAGTTGGTGGCTGTGCCACTGTTGCTCTTATTCCTTTGCAAATAAGAGGAGTCTTTCTGGATAGGCAGTGTTCTCACTGTTGCAGTCTTTAAAAGTAGCTGTGACTTCATAACTTCGAAAATATTTTCCTGTGTTCTTGCCCTAGTAATTCAGAGGAAAAAAAAAGGACTAGAATAATAAATTAAAATTTTATTTAATTAGATCTTTTCCCAATGGTAAAACAAAATGTGAGGTTGTATTTTGAATGGAAGTCTACAGTAAAATGTGGGTTAATGCAGTTGAGAATTCTCATTAAAATGGTAAAAGTTATGTTGTGTTTATAAAAAAAATCAAGCAAGCACCATCCTCCACCACTAAACAAAAACAAACCAGGAAGCATCTGCAGTAGGTAGTGTTAAGTGGCTCTTCCAGGCAGGTGGTCCTGCTTGTGATAAATAGATGTTGTGTATCATGCTGTGCATCTCCCTGATCCATTGAAGCTGTTAGTGGGTAATGTGCCTTCTGAAGGATTTGGAGAGTTCTCCCCTCTGGTAGGAGGTCAAATCCATGCTCTCCAGTCAGAAAACTGAAGAAAGCAAATGAGAGGATGAACAAAACTTGGTGCTTGTGCTCGGTCAGTGAAACAAGTGTCTTGCAATGTGTTGAGAACAGTGTAGGAATAAAGAAGCGAGTTACTTCAGATTGGCATCATCTTGAAGATACGGAGTTTGTAGATTCTGAATGGAGGCTTTCTGCTTTGAAAATGTTTTTGCACTGTACATACAATAGACCAAGATCTGTTGTAACAGTGACATCTAACATGTTTCCCTCTTCTCTTACATTGTCTGGTTTGGATAGGTGTATTAAAAACACCTAGTCCAAGTAGAGATCCCACTGAGGTCCCTCGCCTGCCAGACCCCAACCTTGTTTTTCCTCCAACCCCGAGACGATGGAATGCACAGCAGGATCCCACACTGGAAAGACCTAAGACATTGGAGTTCCTGCCCCGGCCACGTCCTGCAGCCAGTCGGCAGCGGCTTGATCCCTGGTGGTTTGTGTCACCCAGCAATGCCAAGGGTGAATCTTCTGCCAACAGTTCAAGTACTGATACTCCAAGCAATCTGGACTCTTGTTTTGCTAGTAGCAGTAGCACTGTAGAAGAGAGACCTGGACTGCCTGCACTGCTTCCTTTCCAGGTGGGTCCTCCTGTAGAGGAGCGGACACTGTTGGACATGGATGCTGAGGGGCAGAGCCAGGACAGCACCATTCCGCTATGCAGAAGTGAACTTAACACACACAAAGCTGCAGCATATGAACTCAAGCAAGAATTCTGGTCTTAATATGAAACCATTGGGGACAGTGAGCCCCTCTAAATTCAGTCCTACTTTTTGCACTGAGAATGCACTTTGAAGACAGATGAGATGGAGGGATGCTACAGAGATCATATGGTGCTGCCTCTGCTGAAGATGCATTGTTGACTGCCTAATTTTTGTCTGCAGTTGGGTGAAACTTGGCAACTCTGAGCTGCTGATTTTTGCTGTGGGGTTTTTCTGTAGTCTTCCCTGCCCTCTTATTGCAGTTTGAATCTGCAATGAGCTGAAATTATCATATCAAAGCCTTTTGTTACTGACCTTGTAGGATTTGGCACTTGCAGTAAGTATATTGGTATCTATGCTGGTATTAATCAGTATTTTCAAAACTCAAATATTACACAATAGCAGACATCAGTGTTGATGTTTTCCCTAGGAATTCGGGACAGAAACAATTAATTATCTAGAGACTACCTTCTCTGAAATATATTCAGATCATTAGACAGTCCTGGGAATCATCGTACCCCCACTGAAAGAGGAGAAGTAGCTGTCTTAAGGCTTGTTTGTCCTCTTTTGCTTATCTGGTAGTGTATGGTGGAACAGATTGCAGGGGAAGGGCATGGCATCTCCACTGATGGAGGTCTTTGAGAACAGGCGAACCAGATGAAACAAGTAGGTGTAGTTGATCCTGGCTTCAAGGTAGGTTGGATGAACTTCAGTGGTATCTTGAGGTCCCTCTCAGCCCTGTTTTTCTATGACCCGATGCTTTCAAGAAGATGAAAGCTTATGGTATGGCTGTTTATCTTGCTTTTTTATTTCAAACTTTGGTTCCATCTGTCCCTTTTTTCCTACCACCTGTTTCTCAGGCTATAGTGAAGTTGCCTCAGCTTTGGGAAGGGAGTTAGCAGGAACTCCTTCTTTAAAGCTGTGTTGACTTGCAGAAGTAAATTACATGTCCCCAAATTTATCTTCCTGGTTTTTGTCCTTTCTTACACTTTTTAGGAGTGACCCATGAAACCCAAGACTGTTCTTATGCACACTGGTACTTGTTTAAGGCTATTTTAAAATGAGGCTTGTTAGTAGTTGGATTGTGCAAACAGGAATCAGAACATCTGGATTCTGTTTTGTTTTGTCACTGATTCACTGTGTGACCCTGGGCAAATAATGTAACCTCTGTGCCTGAATTTCCCCATCTGTAAATAATAGGAATAATACCTACCTCACAAAGGGAGGGGTTGGGACATATGTAATAGTCCTTTGAGATCTTCGAGTGAAAGGCCCTGTAGACATGTAAAACTTTATTCTTGTTCAAATATGTAAAAAACTAAATCAGGAGCAAGAACAGATCCCTGTCTTGAAGGAGGAAGTTACACAAATAGGGTGTGCCTATGCTCCCAGTTTTCTGTACAAAGACTTCCAAATGTGTCTGTGCCACTACAGGTATAACTTAGTGGCTGTAATGAGAGCTTCACGCTTCCCCAGGTTCAGCATTGTAAATAAGAGATGTAGCCTTTATATCACTGTAATAGGGTAGTCTGCTTTATTGGAGGTTAAGCATATCTGTTCACTCTTTTTGTACGGATCTGTGCTCATTTTGATAATCTACTGACCATTTGGTTGCAAATAATTTATTTGACAGTGACGCCAATGCAGTGCTCAGCCTGTTGGGGCAGTCCAGTCCTGGTGTGAAAGCAGTGTAGCCAAATACTTCCTGCAGCTGTCAGCACAGAGAACCCGTGTGTTTAGGTGTTTGTAATCGGATTTTAAAAACCAGCATGTGAGGAAGAAGTGTACATAAGGGTTTTTAGTTCTGTTTGAGGACTGAAACTAACATGTTGCCATTAATCAAGTGCACCTTTTTTTTCAAGCAATTACAGTATGTTTTTGTGTAGAAAGGTCACATATTTCTTATTTATCACATTCCATGAAAAATGTTTAATGGCAGAATTACTTTCTGCCGCCCTCCCCATTAAATGCTCCGGAGCTAGCTTTAATTGTGCTATATGAGGTGCTGAAGCTGGATAGACTGTGCAGACAAGGTGTGGTGATGTGGAACTAAGATACTTAAAAAAGAAAACTTACATTTCTGACTGTTTGGTTACATGTAGAACTTTAGCATTATTGATTTCTTAAGCATTCATAGTTTTACTTTCCATTTCTGAAAAATCAGTCTGTGATCCAGAGACTAACAAAAAGGCAAAACCCATCCAACAGATGATTAATTTTGATTGTGCTATAAACGAAGCTCAAGGAAATGTCAGTGAGAGGCTGTGTCAGAGGGACTAAAACGAGAGGGATTAAAACAGTCCCTTATTCAAAGTCTGCCTTACCATTTTAAAAAGTCTGAAACAAAACAAGATCAGCTGTTCTGAAATGTAATGTTTTCTGTCCAAAAAGTATCATTATAAATGTCATGTGCTCTGCAAAGGCATCCCCTGGAATAGCCCCATTTGAACAGAAATCTTTAAAATCCATTTACTTGCACGAAATGGGAGGCCGCCTTTTTAGGTCATATTGTTTTAACTCAGCCTGCTAAACTTTCTGATAGTTGGCCAGTAAGTTCACCAAGTAAACTCTAAGGTTTTGGTCAAGTTCCCATCAGTCAAGACAGCTGGAAAGGCATGTTGTTCTGTCACCTCTTTTGCTTAAGAAAGTTGAGGATGACTTATCAAACCCTCCTTGCCACTCTCTCCCTTTTAGATAATCACTTGGTGAAAGTGGTGTGTAGCTGAAAGATGAGAAGTATTTTGCTCCAAAGAGCATCATCACTAATACCAAATGGACCCTTCTTTGATGCAATTATCTTCATTGAATCTAGTATGTGAATTAGCCGCGGGTAGTCTTTGAGTATCAACCCATAAGTTGTCCTCTGGTGACTAACCTGAGGTATCAGGCAAGAGAAGACTTGTGGAACCAAAACTATTGACTTTAGTAGCTGGTGGGGTATTCTCTGACAGGCAGAGGGAGCTCTCAAGGCAAAGAGCTGTTTTGCCTTATGAATCCCAAAACCTCTCCCTGTATCCATCTGTCCCATCCTGGCTTGAATTCTCTTCTTCTTAATCTGTTGGTGTTTTTCCTTCCCACTTGTGTGAGGTGAGGTGTTCCACATCTCCAAAAGAATGCTCCACTGTAGTCCACTAGATAGTGAGAAGATGTGAGCCTGTCAGCTCACAAATCTTTTTTTCCTACTGGCTACTATTATTCCCATTTTTCAGGGAGATAAAAGTTTCAGAATATTGTTCATTGACATACTTTTCTAAGAGTATTCCTGAGGAAAATAGTGAAAATATTACTTAAAAAAATTCTAATAAGTGTATTGTTTCCTAAGTTGTTGAATAGGTTGCACTTTTTTTTCTGAGAAAATGAAAAAAAGATAACATGAGAGCAGAAAATCACTGAGCAGTCTAAAACATAATGACAAAAGAATGGAGTAAAGTGTGTCTAATTACAGGCCTTACAAGGAGGAAGGTGCAGTTTTTTAACTGATAGTAGTAGTGAGATTGTACCTGAGAGAAATGTTTGTGGTCTAGAAATATATTTGTGCTTTTGTTTAGTCAGCTGGCAGTATGTATCGCTAATTTATGTAATTGATATGCTGATTTAGGAAATATAAAAAAGTTTGTTGGCCGTTCAAAATATGCTATCCTTGTAGCCTGTTTGGTTTTCCTGGAAAACTGAGGGGAAAGCACAGACATAGCAACCAGTGCAAAAAAAATGATGAATTTTTTTATAAATTTCTACTGGTTTTACAGAAAATGAGTGTGGGACAAGTAGAGAGAAGAAAGCTTTTGTGTCAAAACCAAGGTGATTAAATAGTTATGGATTTTTTTCTAATACTGTTGCTTCTTATGGACTGCACAATGCTGTGTTTTTCCAGCAAGCAGGTCTTGATCTCCTTTCAGTCCTTTTCAGAGGTGCAGATGTAACCTTTTATAGGTATTTTCTTTCCAGATTAGTATTGCAGTGGGTCGATATTCATTACGAGGCAGGGAACCTCAGAGAAAATACTCTTTTTGTAATTGTTTTCTAACAAAATTAGTATTTTTAAAGTGAATATTTCATTGTTGATGTGGAAAGACCTGTTCTGGCTTGGCATGTTTTTATGATGAAGTATTTTTCTGTACCTCTAGGAATGGGAGTAGTTGCCTTCCTCTTCATAGCATGCTGTTATCTTAAGACTTTGTGGACAATACTGCGTAGAGATGTTGCTTCGATATGTCACGAAACTGGATACCTCTCATTCTGTCGAAGGTGAGGCAGTAATGATCGAGTAAAGAAAGGGCTTTGCCAGCTAGAGTGTTCTGTTAAATAGAACATGACAGGAAACCTCTCATCTTGAGTCACCTTTCTACCTTGAGCTTAACTTTTATTTGAAATTTAATTAATCTCTGTGGGATGAACATGGGAGCTGGAGTCCCTTTAGATGTATGGAACCAAACCTAATACTGTATCCCAAAATTCAGTGACAGCCTGTTACTTTTGTAAGTAATTTTAAGCTAATATTAATGGGTTTGTTTCTTGTGGATTTTTTTGAAATCTTTCTTCTTGGAAAAAGTGCTTATTGCTTTCTAACCTTTTCCATCATTTTAGAAATGTTCTCAAGAACTCTTACCAATTCTGTGGCGAATAAGGAGGTTTATATCTTTCACAGTGATTTAGGCCCTCCTTTTGGCTTTGCTTTTTTTGGTATGAAACAAGGACGTCTATATTTGGAAACTAAGATTTCTGATCCTTATCCTGTCACTGCAGATCAGTTTCTTAGTTTCCATGCTTTTAACTCACTTAAGACTAAAATTTGGGTAAAACTGAACAGTAAGAGTGAGGGGATAGACGTGTTTTAAAACATATTTGCAAACAAGCAATAAGAATACCAAATATGATAACCAAAATATGCTGTCACAGAGCATAACTTTCAGACTTCATAAACCTTTGGATGATTTTATAATTAAGGTATCTTTAGGAAAGAATGCCTTCCTATGTTTTTCTGTTACATTTAGTATTTTAAGATTAGAATATGATTAAGATTAGAATATGGTGGTTTTCACAGTATGGTAGCTAGCTGGACAGAAAGGATCTTTAGCCAGATTTGTACCTCTGATTTTTTTCCTCTATTTTCAATCAAGTTTATGGTTTAAATTTTTTCTTTTTCTTTTTTTTTTTATGTTTAACAAACAATACAGTCTTCTTAAGAGCTTACGTTTTATTGTTTCCTTAGCCTTACTTTCGCGGTTTCATGAGGCAATATGGAAATGAACTCATGGCTTCTGCTGCTGCTCCCTCTATTGAACACACTAGTAGAAAGTCACATGCTGTAGTTAAGATGTGCATTTGCTTTTGGTTTTTCCCATGCTGAGTTTTTTTAAGCAGCTTTGCTGCTGGTCAGAGATGAACACAACTTCTGAAATTACCTATATCAACTTTATTTTTGTATGTCGAAAGTAGTCACTCCCAGGCTAACGAGGTATGTGTACTTGATTAAAAAGTAGTTTGCCACTGGTAACTGGATGATGGATCTGATGTAGCTACCACAATTATTATTATTCCTCTCTAACAAGGATCTCTTTTTTGCAACTAGAAAGTCTTCAGCACTTCATCAGTGTTTGTATACAAGAAATACATTTTGTCTCCATCTGTACGTGAGTGAAAAACCTCTTACTTTTCCTGACCAGGAACACAATTTTCCCACTAAGAATGGCTTCTTGGACTCTGTGTTTTTGTTTATTTTCTGTTTGCTTGGGGATGTTGATTATTTTTGGTTTGTATTTTAAGCCTATGAAATATACACGTCTTAGGTGCGCCCTGTATTCGTAGGTGCCTTCCATCTCACATGTTCCTTGCTAGGAGCTGAGGTATTTTGGAGGGAACTCCTGGTTGTAGCTTTCAGTACTGTGTTGTTCATCATACACCAGGCCAAATACCAGCACAGTGTTCATATCCTCCCAATTAGAGATGTGCCCATACACGTGTGTCAAGGCATGCGCTATCACTGGCTCTCAGTATCTCTCTGTTAGAAATTTGCCCCCACCCAATCTTTATTGGTTATTTATTCTTGTTACCAAAGTAACAAGCCTGAGACAGAAGACAATACATATTTTAGGTGTGCTTTGACCTAAAAGGTTTCTGAGCTAGAAGCATAAGATACAACTGGGTGAAGTGAAAGTGGAGGTTGGCAGGAAATAGCAAATAAGAGTGAAATTATCCTTCTTAATGTAAGTCAGAGAACAGAGAGATACTAGCTGCTTGGTAATCTGTTGGCATCATAGGTCCCAAAGAAGAATTTGAGGAATATGTAGTTACTTAATTTCATAGAATGGTTTGGGTTGGAAGGGACCTTAGAGATCATCTAGTTCCAGTCCCTGTGCTATGGTCAGGAACACCTTCAACTAGGCTAGTTGCTCAAAGCCCCATCCAATTCATCCAGTTTCTGGTTGGTTTGTTGTATTTTACCCTGAACTACCTCATTTGTAGAGATAGAATGGGAAGAAAGTTCAAGTTTTGGTAAGAATTGCTCTAAGTAAGCAATTGAGGCTGGAATGAGATAGGAGGGCAGAGGCAAACACTGTGTTTGGCTCTTTGACATGCAAATTCCTGATGGAAAAATAAAACCAACCATTTGGTTTATTAAGTTAAGATTATACTTTCTTTAAATATTTGTGTCTCCAAAATAGACAATAAAGGACAAGGCAGGGCATTTTTCTTGATGATTTCTGATCTGTGGAAGAGTTGATTGTCCACAGACCAAAAGGTGGTGATTTCATATTGGTCACTACTGGTTTTAAAAGCAATGGTCTGTTTTTTCAAAACAGATTTTTTTTTTTATGATCTCATGTGCTCTTAAAGTGGACCTACATATGATCCTGATTGTTTTCCTGTATTTGCAGTACTGTTTTCCTAATGTATCAGCTCCTAATACAGTCCTAACTGTATCTGAATGCTAATAATGCGCAGACAGACCAATATAGCTAATATTAAGAAACTATGACACATTTTTAGTGTGCGGTGTAGTGGATTTATAAGCTCAGCTTGAAGTGGGCTACTGTTAGGTCTGTAGCTGGTGGGTCAGATGGATGCACAGCTAGCAAAAGAGGGCTTAGAACAAATCTGCAGAAGAAATGCCAAAGTTTTATTTGCTTAAAATAAGCAATTTGAAAAGTAATCATGGTGGGGGAAAAGGCCTTTCATTATTCAGAAATACTTTTCTAGGCTCTTGTCCATGCTCAAACTTTAGCTGCCAGGATAGCTATTGAGAAACTACATTGTGTTCAAAAGTTTTTGGCTGGAACATAAGACCAGAATAATGCATTTTAAATATGCTATTTCAGAGTGATTGATACTGTCTCCCTGTTCTACCTTCAATTCAGCATTTTCTCAAGAACAGATGTTGAGGTTGGATAAAACTAACCTCCTTGTCTTGGAGAGACATATGCGTCTGAAAAAAAAGAAACATTGTTCTAGGCATGTGCTGATGCTTTTATGTCTCGAGGTCTTGGCAGGAGAGGTTATAATGGAGCAGGAAGACATGCTGGTGTTTTTCCAAGCTTCGTTGATAAGAATGCTGCTAACAGCAGTTAAGTTTCAGAACAAACGTAGCCTCCGATTGCTGTTTGGCATAGGTCAGTTGCACACTGAGCTTCTTGAGTCTATTCCTTGGGTTCTTCTGGAATTTGTGACTGTGGCCACTTCTCAGCTTGAGTAGTGTCTTTACTCCCAGGCCTGGTCAGTGTCACAAAATGAGTTGTCACTGTCGACTGCCCAGATACTCACATTAGGCTTGTTCTTCTGTCTTGCATGCTTTAGTGAGCAGCTCTTACAATGTCAACAGGATTAGCATTTCTATCTGAACAGAGCAGCTAATATCTCTTTTCACACTGCATCTCAAGCAGTTGTTACTCCATCAGTTGCTCTGTTTTCAAGGTTATCTTGACAACCATAACATCCAGATACCCTAGTCTGTAAAGAATAAAGCCACAGCAAAAAAAAAAAAAAAAAGTAATTAAAAAAGAAAGCATACTAGCAAGTGTTTGCCAGTTGAACTGGTTGAGTTTGGCCAGTGCTCTTTGCAGAGTAGAATCCATTCTTGTGCAACATAGGTCTCTTTGGGGGATGTCTAGGTTCAAACTGGAGAATATACCTAAATCCACTAGAAGTCACCAGTGCCCATCGTGTTTGGCAGTTATAAGAAACCAAATAAAATCAAGGGCATCTAGTAGTAAAAGTTCATATTTAGGGTAATTACTTTTCAAGTTAAAAGGGAAGAGGCCTCAATTCAGAAAGCTCTTCATCACATACTTAAACATCACTGAAGTCAGCGGAATGTGTCTGTGGGTCAAAATGCACAAGACCTCAGTTCAGCAAAGCTCTTTAAATTGGGGGATTGTCCTGGTGAAGAACCAGGCTCTTTACTTTGGTGGTCAGAGTAAAGAGTCAGTTAACCTGAGGAAAGAGTTCCTCAACAAGCCTCTGGGTAAGTGCTGGTTTGACTGCTGATTCTTGTGGCCTTTCCATGACTGCACATGCCATGCCTGTCTGACTGCTGATTCTTACCATAAGCAGGGTAAGCTTTGAGAATGTTTTCTGACATGGGATAAAAGAGCAACAACTTTTGCATTAGCAGATTGCTATCTGTAAAGGGGCAGGAAGTGGTGACTGGAGGTTGTGTGTGCAAATGACAGTTTAACCCGGGGCCTTTCCTCAGGTGTTTCTTCTCATTTTCAAAATGCATCCCTCCAGGCTGGTGAACAGACCTGACAAGTTCAGCAGTGATCAACATCCACCACTTCACTAGAGTTCTAGGGTTCTTGTCTATCAGCTGTTGGCACAGCACTTCGTGCTGCTATATGTGAATTCCTTCTCGTAAATTCACAAGCTGGAAATGTCTGAGATATTTTGCCTGACTCAAGTTGAGAGGCTTAAATGGAGTGGCAGACAACAGTGGTGGAAAAATCAGGGAAAATACCTGTGCTTTTAACAATATCTCTTCTGTGGCTTTGAAAGTTGAAGAATTTCTCAGCCAGAGAATGTATTTCCTCCCTCTTTTTATAAGCTACTTCTTTCTTTTGCCTTATTATTTGTGGATCTGCTCCTGCTTCTATTTAAAGCCAGATGCAAAAATTGGTGACCTGACTTTCCTAGGTACAATGTTGTAAATCTGAAGAACCAGGTGAGTAGATTACTCTAGTATAAGATCATGCCCCATGTCTGATCCTTTAAGATACGGGATAGTTCCTGCTTGTGTTGAAATCACTGTGTAGAGGATGTTGGGTACTTCATAAGGAACTCCAAACTCTGTAGGACTGAGATTCATCTTGCAACTCCAGTATTTCAGTCTGGTTTTGGAGACCTCTCTATGTCTTCTCTTCTGTTCATGGTGTTCAAAAGTTTGTTGCTGTGGAAGTAGCACCTGAAGGTATGTTTTGCCCGAAGAACCTGCAATGAAGCAGTTGCATTAGCAAATGGCAATGTACCCCAGAGTTGAGTAAAATAACAGAGGCCACCAAGTTTTTCTTGTTTGTGTGATGAAATGTTGTCAAATTAAGTGATTCGTTGGAGCCTTCCTTTAACTTCTGTACAGCAGTAAGCTTAGAGGAAAAGAGGATTGCATTATTTTTTAAAAAGCTTTATTTGTGACCTGGACTTGTTGCCTCTGACCCTCTTGGGCTTAAATAGTTAAATTATATTAATGTCCAGTTTGTTTCACTGTAGGTAACACATCAACTGAATACTCTTGTGCATAATCTACTGTATCTTTCCTCTGTTCTGTGTCAATGTATTATGTGTATTTGGATTACAGTTCTTTTTGTATTAAATTATTTTATGTTATAGAACAATATTTAAGCGAAGCAAAGAGCTATTGAAAGTTGTTGGCGTTTTGGGATTTCTTTTCTCTTTGCTCTTTTTTTGGATGTACTGTAAATTGTAAACCAAGGATGCCAAGCAGGCTTGGTTCAATGGCTAAAATTATTGTATTACAGTGTAATGCTGATCTAGGCCTTGTCTCAACACTAGAGCACACAGACTTGAATAAAACTGCTATAAAAGTGATTGTCTTTAGGCCTTGATTTCTTGGGTTTGTGCTTCAAATAATTTCAAGCAGATATTTAGAATAGCAGTGGCATTACCTTGCTCTGAGGATTTGAGAATTTTTCCCAGTGCAACAAGAGGTTTATTTTTCTTTGCTAGGTATCTCAATCCTGATCAGCTGTTCCAGCTCTGGGTCCTTCATAGGGCTTTTGAAATGTTTCTGTGAAACCCCAGACAGTTTAGTCCAAGTCTTGGCAAGTTACCTGTCTGCTAACCCCCTTCTGGCTTTTCTCTGAACTGGGTAATTAATTGCATACCATTTTATTAAGGCTAATATTTCCGTTCTGTTAGGTTGAAATTTTCTACTCTTTATTTAGTATCTCAGCCTGAATGTGAATTTGAATGCCTGAATCTGGAGCTAATACAGTAACATGTTTTGTGCATGATGACATTTAACAGATGGTTTAGATTCGCTTCCGAATGCTGTGCCTTTGTCCCTGCCACATCATTCAATGAGACACATTTGCAGGAACAAGGATCTTTTCAAGCTGTCTTTCATCTGCTGTAGGTGTACAAGCCATAATAATATGGTTTTGATTTCTAGGTCATGTGTTTGATTCCTAGGTTGAACCTTTGCTCTTCTCTGCCACCAAGCCATCATTTCATGTTTCTCTGCTTAAAGAAATGTACCCGTACTAATGAAGGACTGTGCACTACAAGAACTTAGGTTTCATAATTTCCTTTGAAAAAAGATTTTTTTCTAATGCAGGTACATGCAAGAAATGCAACACCCTTCCAACAGATACAGAGACTGAACAATTCATAGGTACCTTCAGTCGTATATTCCATTCAAACTGCTGTAGTGTTGCTTTGTGATAAACTGGAAGGAAAGTGGACAGGCAGTCAATTTAGTTAGAAACAATAGCGTGCAAAGTGAATCACTTTTTCACTTGTTTTAACAAAAGGTATCTTTCAATGTTTTGTCTTTCAAACTGTTTTTCCACTCCTTCTTCCCAAATCCTGCCTATCTGAAATGAAACTAAATATTTCTGCCTCCTGGAATGTTACACAGGATAGGATTCTGTCCTAAAAGAAGCAGATTTTCTAGCTGAATTCACTCCCCTGTCACAACCACAAGGTTACCATAGTGTTCAAGCTTGCCTCATCAGCAACAAAAATCTATATGCATCATGGCAGATACCTTTCTTTCAGCAACTGCAGACCATGGCAGGAACACAAAGCACTGGGACAGAGTAGAAAAATAAAATAGTTTTCTTAGCAGGGGAATCTAACCACTTCTAGCAGAGAGAGAGCATCTTAAATGAAAGCTGGCAGGGTCAGCATGGATGCAGCATGAACACACCAGCAGATGCTTTAGGCTGAGTAGCTTTAGTTTTTCTTTGGTTGATGTGTGGGCAAGTGTTGGGCATTCAAGTTCTACAGCGATCTACAAATTGTATGTAGGCCTTTAGCTATGAATGCGCTCAAGTGAGGAAATCATCATGGATTACCTTATGTTCCTCAGATGGCATATGCTGAAATAATAGATTTAAGTAGTGCTACTGTGATGAAGGTTACTTGCAGTAACCTTCCAAGGCTATGCAGACAAGGGGAAAAGAGGGTAGGCTTTCCTTAGTATGCAGCTCATATGATAAATTAGTCTGCTGTTTCTAGTGAAATTTTGACATTCTTGGCCCTTCTGACATGGAAGGAAAGGGAGAGGATGTCCTGCTAAACCTAGGCTTAACAAGAACCTAGTTAATTGTAAGACGAAAAGTTTGTCGGCATATTGGTATCAGGCTCAAGAAGACTAAGCTTTAGCAAAAATTCTGGAGTGAATACGGCAACAACAAACGTCAGTATCTTAACAAGGGTTAACAAGCTTTGTCTTCATGCTTGGGTACAATGGACAGTGCAGTTTGCTTTGGCAGTGAAAGCGGAAATAATTGTAACTAAGGATTGGACAAAGCTCTGGGGCTTTCAAGTAGACTTCAGCATGCTTTGTGGCTCTTTGCTACTTCATCTGAAATCTTATTAAATGGCATGTGATTTACTTCTGTTAAGTCCTCATTAATTTAAAAATGAACTAATCTGAGTGGAATGAAAAGAGGCAGGATCAACTGATGGCATTCCAACACAAAGTAGAACAAAACCATAATTGCCTTACTAAATATAACCAAAATGCATACACTTCGTGCCTGCAAAATTTGCTCTGAAATTTATTCCTTTCTCCCCAGATCATGCTCTAGTGTCTTAACTTTATAACAATTCATCAGTTTGAAATAAAAAAACAAACAACCATGCATGGGGTTACCTGGCACAGATTGCAGCCAGTATTGAAAGAACCAGCTCTTGTGGATGTGAGTATCGTGTTCTCCAGTGGGACCCTGAGACAGCAGTTGGACAACTGGTCACTGTACAGAGAGCTTAATATTTTTGCAGCAGTCTGGCATTTTTGCTTTTGGTGATCTTCCTGCAATTGCATCTGGCTATTTACTACTTCTACGGATACCCCCAGATCTTGCAGAGGTAAAAGGATCTTCTAAGCTGGTGTGCATTATGAAGGAGAATTTCTTCTTGATGATGATTTGTGACTGGAGAAGCTGGGACAAAGGAAGAGGTCTCAGATTGGGGGTAGAAAGAAGGTAAAAGATGAAAGGTTTCTTTATTCTTGTCTGCCTTCAGAAGGGAAAGGATGGCTGGAACAGGAACCAGCACTGAGAAGAATGGGTCAGACACTGTTGGGATGCTACAGGAAATAAGGAGAAACCAGCAGAGTTTCTACAGAAGAGGAAATACCCTGGCTGATACCTGAATCATTGGGGTCCCTGAAATACTGATCTGCTCACTGTGATTTTGAAGCCAGAGGGAGGATGTTTCCAAGAAAGACCAAACCTGCACTTTTCACACCCTATCTGGTGTGAAAAAGAGGTAGAATTTGCATCTCTCTCTGTTTTTGAGGGTAGAAAGGGTCAATTCCTAGAGTGACAAGAAGCAAGTATGACAGGAGAGAGATGTCCTGTCATCAGCTTCAGGTCTCAATCCCTGTGGAACTCAGAACCTTGTCTCCGTAGGTCTAATTATCTTACTGCATCTTCTAAACAAGCAAATGTCAGTGATGTCTCTGGGCAGGCAGAGCCTTTTAGGCCAGCTCTGTAGCACACCTGTAATTTCTGCTACTTCTCCATTTGTTATTTCTAGGCTGGTTTCAGGACTATCAAGTCAGCACTGAAGTGATTTTAAATTCAGACCTGCCCAAGACAAAACTAAATAAATTCCTTCCTTAGGAGGTATTGCATCAGTAACATTGCAAACTCGTGAGCAGAACTTGCAGGTATACCATATATAGCTATGTTAATTTAAAAACTTTATTCCACTCATTTAGTAAACCCATTTGTATAGTTGACAAGAAGTGAAGGTTTTCTGAGCAGCCTGCCTATGCCACTGCTGCTGGTGCCAATTATCTTTGGTGGTATCAAGGTTATACCTGTAATGTTTGGGTTTCCTTGATTAGGTTTTTGTGTCAGTAGGCAGCAATGTCAGGTACTGGTCTGTAAGAAGAGGTGAGCTGGAGCAAAGGGTGACAGCAGGGCTGTGGCCTCATGAACGCAGTCCCAGGGTACCTGAGCAAGGTGAGCAGAGCAGGTCAAGTGACAATAACCAGAACCAGCCACAGTCCAGTGATTCAGGCAAGTTTGTAGGGATAAGACAGGTCCAAGGTCAAGCTAGGAAGGCAGAGAGGTAGAATTTGCATCTGGGTGAGCAAGGTATCTGGGCAGGAATAGCCATGATCATAATTTAGCTGAGGCAAGGACCATGGGCAAGAAAATGTGCCTACTTGGTGAAGGGAGGGAGTCTGTGATGAGGTTTCTCATAGCTTTTGTCCCAGCCACAGCCACACAGCTGTATCTGAGCTGACTGGGAGCCCAAGCAGCCAAACCTGTAGAAGGAGAAAAGAAGTTACAGAGGTTGTTGGGCACTCAGGGGGGCAGATACCTATTCAATGACAAAATCCATTAAAGTTCATAATTATCTTGGGGGTTTTTTGTCGATTTCTGCAGTTCATCATTGTTATAGTGTGCAGTTAGAGGATGAGAGGAGGACCAGGACTCAGGAGCTTTCACTGTCACTGGGGGTTTCAGAACTTCAGCTTTTGCCAAGTCTGGTAGAAGAAGCAGTGCTTAGTATCTTCACTACAAACAGCTGAGATTCTCTGCTGGCCTTTTCCTCCTCTGTGCAATTTTCCATCTTTATACTCCAAGCTCCTTTTCTGCAATCACATAGCTTTCTCTGGAGCAGTCCATCATAACCGTGTTTGTCACCTGATTTCTCACCTGGTTGCAATTCTGACATTAGGACCACTTCTTGCAGCCACATATCATCTCTTCTGGGTTAGCCTGAAGTATTTTTCCCTTCACAAATTATGTGCATGGTAGGACAGACACTTTTTTTCTCACAGATTATACACATACCTCCAAGCAGTACTATTTCAAGCCATGTCCTTCCCTCTCCTCCTGCCTGGACAAGGCAGACATGGACAGGGAATCAATATTATCTGTTCTTAGTTCTGAAATGGCATCACAGAAACTTAGTCTTCAGGGTTCTTCAACTTAAACAGCTATCAGAAAAAAAGATGGCTACCTCTCAATCACAAATTATTTTCCATCTAACTAAACATGGAACAGATTTAAAAAAAAAAATTGTTGGACAGTGCAAAATTGAAAGTGTCTGTGGAAATTAGGAATTTGCTCTAATAATCTGCTATTTAATTAAGTCCTTTCTGGACTTGTATCTATGCAGTCTTCAAGATGTAAGTGCTAGCTAATACCTCTCCAGAAGAGTTTTCCTTTCCTCATCTAAACCACGCAGTGATTGGATAACAGTTGGCAAACTTGCACACAAGCCGAGCACAGAGTTTTAGGCTAAAGGAATCTGGGGGCCTGACCAGCTCTGTGCAACTCCTGTTCTGTCTCATCTCACAAGAGATTCTCCTCAGGCTGTATGGCACATCCAAACTT